TCTCTCTGTCTCTCTCTCTCTGTTGTTGAAAGGATCATTATTTCGAGCCCCGTGTCTGGAAAAGCTCACTGGCCCTTCTCCAGAGTTCGTCCTCTGCCTCTGGGTGCTTCTGGACATGCCGTCCACATTGCCCTTCTCTGCAAGAAGCACAGTGGCCTGTTTTCAAGCATCTGGTGGTTCTCATTTGCGCTCTCTCGCTCTCTTTCTCTCTCCTTCTGTCTGCCTTGCCCTCCCCTTCCATTATCCTACTCAGCTATCACAAGATATATCTTTTGCTCGTCATTCTTTTCAAGCTTGGCATTTCGCCTACTTTTAAGGAGCGCCTCTGTCAAGCGTAATACGTCGCATCTCCGGTCTTGCTGACCTCTGTCAACCGCCAAGACAGGGCTGCGTGGAATTTTAAAAAGCCGCCCGTGCAGGTGAGCGCTCTCTGCAAGGAGGCCCTGTCTATCACAACAGTGTTCCCCAACCTTGGGCCTCCAGCTGTTTTTGGACTACAATTCCCATCATCCTTGACCACTGGTCTTGCTAGCGAGGGATGATGGGAGTTGTAGTCCAAAAACAGCTGGAGGCCCAAGGTTGGGGAACACTGTATCACAACAACCTGGCGCCCTTCCGGGCATCTCCCATCAGCCTCATCCAACGCACCAACAGGGGAAGGCTGCAAAATACAGCTCCTGAAGCATCCTCCCTTCTTTGCACAAAGTATCACAAAACACTTTTATGAGAATGCCTACACTGACTGGCAGCCACTCTCCAGGTTTCCAGGCAGGATGCATCTCCCAGCCCTGCCTGGAGGTGCCTGGGATTGAAGCTGAGATGTTCTGCATGCAGACCAGGTCCTCTGCCCCTGAGCTATGGTTCTACAGCTTTTGAGAAGTGCGTTGGAAGGCAGAGGCCTTGTTCTAATTAGGACTGGAAACTGGGAAGGCCTTCATCGGATGAGGCGTCGCTGCCTCTCCTTGATGTATCAGTACCTTTTCAGCCCAAGGAGCATGTGAAGCTGTCGTGGCATGTGAAGTCAGGACATTGGTCCATCTAGGCTGGGGATATTTCCCCTGAATGGCAGCAAAGAGTCCCTTTCCTGGGCTGTTCTCCAAGCCCAGTTGTCTGTGATAGCATCTTAACTGGAGATGGCAGGGACTGAACGCGGGGCCTTCTGCATGCAGCTGTTGCTGAGCACGTAATGCGAAGGAGAGGTCGGAAAGGTTCTGTGGTGGCTGGAAGCTAAATTGCTGATGTGCCCAGCAGTCCTATGAGCAGGTTTTGAATCTGAGATTATTATTTTAATGCGGCACTGATCCCTTTGACCCTCCCCCTTTTCTTCTGCCCCTTGAGTTCTTTTAAGTTTAGAATATAAGGAGAAACTGCTGGATCAGGCCGTGTAGCGCAGCATCCAGTTCTCACAGTGGCCAACCAGATGCCTCTTTGGGGAAACCCACAAGCAGGAGTCGTGCACAAGAGGAATCTTCCCCTTCTGCAGTTCTGGAGGCAGAGCATAGCCATTCTGGCTAATAGCCGTCAGTAGCCCTTTCCTGCTCTATGAATTTGTCTATTCTCCATTTAAAGTCACCCAAGTTGGTGGCTGTTACTGTCTCCTGTGGGAGAGAGTTCCACAGTTCCCTCTCCTTCGCCATGAATATGTTTGATCCTCTTTTAAAGCATCAGGAAAGGACAAACGAAAGAATGACTGGGAGCTGCTGTGGCTTCATCTCTCTGTCTTGGAGTGGCTATGAATTTTAATTAAGACCACCAGCACACAGAATAGCATTGAGGCAGGTGGGGAACACAAGTCTTAGCACCAGGGAGTTTGCAATCTAAATTGTAGGGGGGGTTTTTTGGGGGGGAGACTATTTTATATATTTAACAAAATAAAGTGGTTTCATGGGCTCAGGTGGAATGGCTAACGGGGTGGTGACTATGAGAAGAGCTTTCTGGATCAGGCCATTGGCCCACACGCGGGCATAGACACACTGTGGTGCAAACATGGCAGCTTAGTAGCCATGTTCCTTTGGCTTTCTCATGGAGTGTGGCTACTGGTACATTAGTCATCGAGCTGCTGGATTGTCCTCTCCTGCTGGGTCCATAGTTCCTCAAACCCTGGCAGGCAGAAGTGGCTTCACCTCAGTGTTGCGTTTACAACTCAAAGGCCCCAAGAAAAAAAAGATCTGGGTGGTGAATGTGGCACATAGAGCAGCTGGCATGGTTTGGAGGTTTGTGGCACCATTTTTCATGCTGTGTGCTGACTTTCCTGGGTGGCTTGTGCATGCTGAAGTGGTCCTCTGAATGCTTCAGAGCACACCAAGATGGCGCCTCGCCCTGTCCTGACTGAAAACTGCTTCTTGAACATTTTCCAGGGGAGGAGGAGTCACGGTCAGGACACGGATCAGGGGGTTCAAGATGCTGCTTCACCATGCCAGAGCAACCCAGAAAAGCCAGCCTCGTGGTGAGTTGTGCACCTCTGAGAAAAGGGAAGTGGGGGTTGAATACGTTTTCAGCCACAATTTCACAGAGTATGTGCAGGGAGTTTGTTTTTAAACGTATTTACATGCTGCCAATTCATAAAACAATTTATACAAATTAACATAAAACGCCATTAAAAATCCTGCCAAGTTGTGTCAGGAAGAGCCTGTTCTGCAACTTGCATAAATTAAGCAAAATTGCCTGCATGCTTTTGTTTTGCATAATTTATTCTGTTGGGGGCTGCTTGCTGAGGCTGCCAAGGGGCAGAGCGTTGTAGCTTCACATCACTGCAGCTCAGAAATCCAGCTCCTGCCCACGTCTTTTTCAAGCCTGTCTTTATGTATGAAGGCAAGAGCTTCATGGAGTTTTTGAAGCAAAAGCTGATTTTCTCAGAAGACTAAAGCAGGAATCCTGCGCCAGGCATTATACAATCGTACCTTGGGTTACAGAAGCTTCAAGTTGTGCGTTTTCGGGTTACAGACGTGCCAAAACCTGCAAGTACCAGAATGGGTTACTTCTGGGTTTCGGCGCATGCACAGAAGCGCTAAATCGCTCTTTGCGCATGCCCAGAAGTGCCAAATCACAATCCACGCGTGAGCAGACACGATGCTGTGGGTTGCGGGTGCTGCGGGTTGCGAATGTGCCTCCCACACGGATCACATTTGCAACCCGAGTGTCCATTGTACAGTCATACCTTGGGTTGAAGTAGCTTTGGGATGAGTATTTTCGGGTTGCTCTCCATGGAGACCCGGAAGTAACGGAGTGCGTTACTTCCGGGTTTTGCTGCTCGCGCATGCACAGATGCTCAAAATGACATCATGCGCAGAAGCAGCGAATTGCGACATGCGCAGACGCGGGTTGCGTTCGCTTCAGGATGCGAATGGGGCTCCGGAACGGATCCCGTTCGCATCCAAAGGTACCACTGTACTTGGATGGAAGGACAGAATCCAGGCAGCCACATGTGGAATAGACAGGGCATTTCTTGGGTCAGAACTCACAAGCAAATATTTATTTAGGAACACTGTACCCCACTTTTCACTATCTGCCTCAGAAGTGACTGTTATGCCATTTTCTAAAGAAGTCTCTGGAGCTTCTCCTGTTGCTGCGCTGAGGCCCCACCCCTTCTTTTTCTCTGCTCTCCCCAGTAGCCCAAATGCCCCACTTCCAGCTTCCATATAACGCTGCACACCCGACCCCCAAAAAGAATGCCCACTGATTACATCCATTAGGCACCAGCGACAAGTGTTTAAGAACATAAAGAGAGCCTGCTTTATCAAGCCAATGAGCTTTTGGGTCAGCATCCTGTTCTCACAGTGAACAGATCATAGAACTGTTGAGTTGGAAGGGACTCCAAAGGTAATCCAGTCCAGCCCCAGCCTGCAATGCAAGAATCTCAGCTAAAACATCCATGGCAGATGACCATCCAACCTCTGTATAAAAACCTCTACAGAAGGAGAGCCCACAACCTCCCGTGGGAAACCTGGAAGCAGGATTCGAGCACAAGGGAAACCCTCCTAATCTGTGGTTTCCAGCAGCTGGCATTCAGAAGCATTGCTGCCTCCAACTGTAGAGGCAGAGCAGAGGCATCATGGCTAGTAGCCATCAGTGCCTCCTGTGGAATTGAGTTCCAAAGGTGAACTGTGTGCTACGTAGAGAAGTCCTTTATTTTATGTGTCCGGTCCTTTGCTTTAATGCAACAGCCAGACCTTAAGCACAGCCACTGAATGTAAACAAGTGCTGCTCCCTTGTTCTCGTGTGATCACTTTTTCCTTCCCTTTTTAAACGCTGTGCATGTGCTGTGACCTGAGAGTGCAAAGCTGCAGTCGGGGTGCCAAGAAGAGCAGGATCCACAGGGAAGCTGTCTGCCCCAGAGGGCAGGTTTGGCCAACTCAGAAGTTTTAAGTGCTGCTCCTCTGCAAAGTAGATCCTTTTGTGTTCCAAACCCATCCCATGTTTCCCTGGCATATCTCCCCTCCATCCTCCTCCATCCTAGCACCATTCTTTACGGTGGCCCATGAGTCTTCACAAGGCTGCCGTGACCTTGAATTCAAAGCTTCCTTCCTGTTAGCGTCGGAGAGGTAGCAAACTTCTCCTTCCCAGGTCTTTGTGCACAAAGGTGGCGCTTACAAGCTGGCGAGCTATTGAGCCTCTAGAATCTCTCTTTCCCCCAACCCTTTACCCTCCCCTCTCGGTCCACCCGACAGGTCCCTTTCTGGTTCATTCAGTGTCCATCCTCCCTCCTGTTTCCCTGGCAACGCTGAGTGCACATCCTGGAAAACTTTATCCGAAATCTGCTCTGGGCAGCTTTCCAAATCCATGCTAACCTGATTAGGTATCTCTGGGGGCCTTGCTGGCTAATCAAATTAGGTAGCTCTAATGGCAGCGAAGACTTTGAGTGGGCAGAGAGCAGTAAAACATAGTGTATACTTAGTGATAATTATACTTGCTGTTGTGTCATTGATTTATATGCCTTTCCCTTTTTTATGTGCCCAGATATATAACCCCTTCCTTTGTTTTTCTTGCATTTTCGATTGCAGCCATTCGGAGGAAGGAAAATGGCTGGTACGACGAGGAGCATCCCTTGGTTTTTCTCTTCTTGGGATCGTCGGGAATAGGTAAAGTCGGCGTCCTTTTTTTCCCTTCTTTCATTTTTTGGGGGATGATGCAGGCTGGTCCAGCCCCAGAAGTAACGCCAGTGCTGATTTTTCCACACATGCTAGAGATAGAAAAACCAAAGATGTTGCACCACGAAAGGGCCAGAAATCTCAAGTCTAGTTTTCAAGTACTTTTCTGGGCTCAAGTAAAGGACAGGTTGATTTTCAGTCCACTTACCTTCCCCGCTGCCCAGACACTGCCAGTGGTTCAAGTCATCGGCAAACACCACTTAGTTGCAACAGCGTAATAGTGGCACTGAACGTGAACTATCCCAAATTCCAAAGTGAGAAAATCACACTAGGTACAATATTCATGTGAAACATAGAATTTTTATTATTATTCAGTTATAAAAATATTTGTATACTGCTGTGTCGTTTAAAAAAACCTACACCGCCAAAGCGGTTTATAGCTATAAAAGCATAAAACCATGCAATAAAACCATTAAAAGGGTAAAAACAGACATCAATTCACCAGGATCATTCCCTACCCATCAGGCTGTGGTTTTGTTTTTTAAAAAAGAATTTGAAAATCCTTAGTCGTAGCATCATCCCAGAAGTCATCAAGAGTTGTGTTACCTTTCGCGAGCTTCTTGCCAGCTCCAGCAAAGGATGGCCCCGGGAAGAGCTGTATGTGTTGCCAAGGCACCCACACCCCACAACCGCTAAACCGAACTGGCACCCTGAGATCTGATTCCATTTTTGAAAGACAGAAGCAAGTTTGTAGTTCCTGTTGCAGAGCAAAGATTGAGAAGGGTCCAGCAAAGGCAGGGAAGCTAGAATGGACCAGGAAGAGCCTTCTCACTGGAGTAAAACCATGGGGACCCAAGGCCCAGTCAGCATTCTGGACCCCTATGTTGTTTTGGGTTCCAAGCTCTGATTAGCACCAACCATGGTTTGGCATGGGGTCTGAATTGAATCACCCTTTCTGAGACACAGAACCAGTGTTAGAAACTGGGATAGAAAAGCTAGGAGCCAAATGGCTCCTGGGACCAGAGTTGTGGGCGCCAAAAACAGAATGTCTAGATGCCACGGGGTGGGGGGGGCGGTCAGCAACACTTTTAATTTATTATTTTGATAAGCATGAATTAATACGCAATTTGCGTAAGTGAAATGGTTAATACATGTTTAATTTGGTGTTGGCAATAAAAATATTAGTAGCATACTTCAGTTTCCAAAATACTCTACTCTTTATTATTAAACTCCTTAACATATTGTCTGTCCGTAACATATAATTTGAGGCTTCAAAGCACATACATTTCAGTAATGTATGAGTGTCAGCAAGGTGCAAAAAAAAAAAGGCACCCAGACTTTTTGAGGTGCTTTTTGGCACCCTGCTAATTCCAAACCCTAGAACCAGGCAGATGAGAGAGCAGGTGAGGCGGAGTCATAGAAATTAGGGGTGAAGAGGCAGGACAAAGCTTTTAGCAGAGAATAAAATGTGGCTTTGGGGGGGTACAGTATGATCGCATCCTACACACATCTAACATGTGCTATTTCAACCGTACATGGTTGAAGACCAGCTGGTTGAAATCACACAAATCAAATGTAAGCGGATAGCTCAAAAGATCCTTTTGAGCAGGATTTTCCTGGCATGGAGTGTGCTTTTAAACTGTCAGACTTGCATACTAGGCTCTTGAGATGCTCTTGCCATGATCTCAGACAACCCTGTGAGATTTCATGAGAGCATCCAAGAACCCAAAAAAGCAAACCTGAGAGCTTTAAAGTTCTCTGCCTTGCTTGGAAGGTAAGGATGGTCATACAAGGGTCCTTCGGGTATATGCCTTTTTTGCGTATATGCACTGTCACCAGAGCGCAACCCCTGCGCAAGATGCAGTTGCACCGAAAAGGGTGAAGCAGCAGGAATTGGCAGCCCCTGGTTGTAAAAGGAAGAGCCAAGGGAAGGATTGTCGCTCAGGAGTCTTCCCTCCGGCATCTCGTCTGGGTCAGGCAGACCCTGGTGTGCCCTTTCACCTTGAGGGCACCTTATCAGGGTCCTGCGGGGGCTGCTCTGCGCAGGTACATGCCTCGCGAGGGACAAAATCTCCCGCCGCAGTGGGGGCTGACATGTTTGTTGATACCATGTCGATGTGGATTTATTCCGTAATATGTGTTTTGAATTATTGATCGCCTTCATGCCTAGACTTTTATGATAGACGTTGCATATAAATCCAATAAACAAAGAATATTGTGTTTCCCAGCAAATCTGCTCCTTGTCTTGAAGTCAAGGACGTTGCGTTGGGGGAAGACTGGGTTGATGGGCCTCGGCTCCATCGCTTGCCTGGTCCTCCAAAGCACTTTTGCACAGCAAATCCTTCAAGGCTTCCCTTTTCCCCTGGTGGAGGCAGCAGGGACAGTTCACTTTCCTTTGCAGTTTATGTTTTCCAAAAACACCCCACAAAAGTTATTGTAAGAGCAGAAGGTATTCTGTAGCCCAACTGTCCCCAACCCGGTGCCCTCCTGAGCTTTGGGCTGCAGATGCCCTCAGGCCCAGCTAAGCACAGCCATTGATAGGAGTTGTATTCTCAGCACATCTGGAGGGCACCAGGTTGGCAGTTCCAAAAAGTCCTTTCTGTCATCTTACAAAAACATGACCATGATAACTAATAATTTTGTGAGTAGCACCAAGTTAGAAACAAAAGAGGAATGTAAATGGGTAAAATGGATGGTAACTGCAGCCAGACAGGTTATAGTGAGTAGTGTAACTGGAAAAATGCAGAAGAGCTAGGGGTGAACCAATGGAGGAAAAAGCAGAGTAATATTATAATTTTCGAATATCTAACTGTGAAGATGCACAGGGTTTAAGGTCATTGAGAAAGAGGAGAATTGGTTTGAGAAGATATTGAACTATTTGGGTAGGTTTGAACAATTTGGGGCAATTAAAATGTTAAAAGTTAAATAAACCTTGTGGATGGAGGAGTGTTAACGTATATAAAATTGTACATTTGGTTGATTTTAATATGTTATTATTGATTATGTATACCCAATGTATCAGCTGCCGGGGGGTTTCACTGTTTGTGTTTGGTTATTGGTAAAAAATAAAAATTTAATTTAAAAAAAACACCTAATAATTTTGTGTAGGGAGAGTTTGGAGGCCTTTATAGGGTTAAAAGAATCAGTTTCCAGCAACCAGTTCCATTCTAACGAGGCCAAGGAGAGCTCAAGGTGGGACTGTGCAGATGAAGGGGCAAGGGAGGGCAGCTCTGGAAGGAAGCGAAAGCAGAACCTACGGGTTCCATCCCTGAGACTGACAGCTGTCACTGGTATGGCTACTTCAGGGAACCCTGTTTGTGAGCAGAGCATTAGAAGAGCCAATGGCCCATCCAGTCCAAAAGCAGCTCTCCCCTCCTGTGGTTTCCAGCATCTGACATTCAGAAGCATTGCTGCCTCCGACGGAGAGAGCCACAGGTCATGCCACTGTCACGCCACTCCCTCCAGTGCTGCCTGCCAGGGGGTGTGAGAAAGCCTGGACCCACGGAAGCCGTTTCCAGATGTCTGAAACCTGGCGGGGGGGAGGGAGGAGCCTCTGTAGCCCAGAATGTCCCATGCAGCCAGTAGACACAGGAAAAGGTGGTGCTGTTGCAGTGGCTCTCGTGTTCCTGGGGTAGCTTGAGAATTGAGCCTGTGCTGTGTTTGTTTTTGTTTCGTTAAGTATATATTATCCCAGTTGGTAGAAGACTCTTTAATCTCAAGATTGTGGGTTCGAGCCCCATGTTGGACAAAAAGTTTCCTGCATTGCAGGGGGTTGGACTAGATGACTCTGGTGGTCCCTTCCAACTCTACAGTTCCATGATCTCACTTGCAACACAGACGCTGCAAACGGGTCTTGGTTTTGTTGCCGCGCAACTTCCCAAGAGCTTTTTGCATGGTCTCTTCTTGATGTCCTTATCAAGGCGTTTCTCCCTCAACGCTCCCTCTTTTCTCTGCCACTTCTTGAACAGGCAAAACTGAGCTGGCCAAGCAGACTGCCAAGTACCTGCACAAAGATGTCAAGAAGGTAAGGCCTCTGCTCTCGGTTCCCCCAGCAGAACAGCCTTGTTTCCCCAGGCGTCAGTGGGTGGAGCGGCCAGGGACCCTGGAGGCATCGACCAAGAGGGTTCCCATTTCACAGTTTCCTCCCTGGAGCTGCTCTGACCTGATCCAGAAGAATTGCCCTGGCCACAACTGTGGCTACTGTGGGAGCAAGTCACCACTTAAAAATGTTACAGGTTTTGGAGTTATGCAGGATGCCGCTCTGCACACAGATTTCCAGGGCGAAACCCCCGTCCCTTTTCCAGTTACGTTTTCGTCCTCGCTGCCGTGGTTACTGGCTCCACATCAAACACCACTACAGCCAAGGACAAACAGGCCGTGCTAATTCAATGGCATGCTCAGAACAAGCGGTTCATTAAAGCCTAATCAGTTTGTTGGTTATTTAGTTAATTAATGCATCAAAGAGGGCGTCACAAAACGTGGAGAGAATTATTGGGGAAGGACAGGAGGAGAGGGTGGCTTATAACAGCAGCTGGCGGGTTAAGGGAGATGTCATTACCAAGATCTTGTTTCTGTGCCAGCTGAAAGCCCGCCTCATCCTCTGGGTGTGCGGCAAAAACCTCGCCGGTTATTACACAAAGGACAATATATTCTGATTGTGGTTTCTGCATCATTGGTTACCTTTTACAGCCCAGCCCAGCCGTCTTGGGTACATTTGAATGCAGGAATGCAATAAAAGTTGGGCGTGATTTGGGTGAAAATTCTGGCCGCTGTGTTTGGAGAAAGCCCAGGGATGCTCAGTAACTTGGGAGTAGAGCATCTGCTTTGCGGGACGAAGGTCCCAGGCTTGGTCCTCTATGACACCTCCAGGTAGAGCTTAGTTTGTGCCCTTCCTGAATCCCTGGGGAGTTTCTTGGATGGCTTCAAGCTCTGCTCAGTCAGCGCAAAGGGAGCACATGCAGATCCCTATTAACCAGTAACTAAATAAAACAAGCATACCATTGGTCTTTCTCCCCCTGCGTAGTCTACTGGCAGCCGCTCTCCAGGGTTTGAAACTGAGCCGTTCCCAGCCGTACCTGGAGATGCCCAGGTGCGGGGGCTTGAACCTGGGCCCTTCTGCAGTCAGAGCAGATGCTCTGCCGCTTCTCCTCCTAACAGCTTTTGTGCATACAGATCAATGTGCAAAGTGGGGACATGACACACAGGTCTCTGCAGAGCCTGGCATTGCAACAGGCACGCTCTGTCAGGGATCCGGGATTCTGCAGCTGCCTGTCATCAGCACCAATAAATGAGTCCCTTTTTGTTTCCTTTGTGCCACCAGGGTTTCATCAGGCTGGACATGTCTGAGTTTCAGGAAAGACACGAGGTTAGTAAGAGAGATGCACACCCTCAGCAACACCACCACTGTTTGAAGATCCCGGAATTGACAGCATTTGGCATTCTCACCTTTGCTGACACTCTCTTCTTGGGTGGCAAACTCTCTCCAGATACTCACCCTCGCTCCTCCAGCTGAAAAAAGAAAACTTAACATTTCTATGGTGTGCCCTATAGAACACCATCTCCCATACATTCCTTCCTGTCTCCTGAGAACAGAAGGGAGGTAGCTGTATTCTGTGTTCCTTGTTTCTTAGATGCAAGATTAGTTGGGATATAAAATAAGGCTTTTCCATGGTGCCTGGAGAGAGATCTCAAGCCATCTCCTTGTTCATTTCCCTCCCCTTTTTATTTTTTCCCTGTTCATTCATTTATTTGTTGTTGTTGTTGTTTTGGCCTTGCTATGAAAGGCTCAGTATTGTCTGAAAGTGGAAATCTGTTGCAGAATAAGCTTGTTGGCTTTTTTAAATGAAAAACAGAGCGAATTTTTAATCTAGTGGTTCCTATACCTTTTGGGAACCCCATCCCCTTGGTTCCACAACTCAACCCCAGTTCCCCCTACTCTATAAAAAGCATTATTCAGAATTGCAGTTTGCATGAGCAAATGCCCTCTCATCAGATGTCAAGGACAACTATCTGAAAGGAAAGTTTTAAATGCTTGACATTTTATTATGTTTTTATATGTGCTGTAAGCCACCCAGAGTGGCTGGGGAAATCCATCCAGATGGGTGGGCTATAATTATTATTATTATTATTATTATTACTACTACTACCACTGCTACTGAGGAAGAAAATAACATGATAAAATTTAAAACCATTAATTTCACATTTATTCAAAATCCACTTAAAATGGTTTAATTTAATTCAACCAAATTGATGAACTCGAGACAGTGATACTAGCTGTTCTAAGTCTGATAGTCATTTAGACTTTTAGTGCCGCCCCCCCTGCTGCCCCCCTAGGTTATCCCACTGTCCCCACCCCCAGGAGATGGTACAACCACTAGCCTAGTCCCTGTTGATCAAATATTCCTGGTGAGGTTTTAGAACATGAGTGGAAAGCAGAGTGTGGTGCAGAAGGTCTTTAAAGTGTCAGGGCCCCTTCAGAGCTACTTGCCAAGGCTTCTATCTCTGGGCCCTTGAACCAATAACTCAGCTGCCTCTGCTCTCCGTGTCCACCTCCCATTCCTCCAGACCTTGCAAAAAGCCACCACTGTATATCCCTTAAAACGTAGATTGAGGAGCAGAACTGATTCTGCAACATAAGCAGCCATGTGATGATGCGCCTAATTTGCACATTGCGGTCTTAGTAATTGGATTTCCTCCATTCCAAATGCACCCAGCTCTGGACGTACAATCTTTTCCTTGCTCTCTCGGCGCGCTGAAATCGGACGATGCAGGCTCCGAACTCCTTGTGCAGGCTAGTCTTGCTTTGAGCCACAGCGAGTCTCTTTCCCCCGGCCCAGGGCTTTGGCGTCCCCATCTGACGCCTGTGGCTTCTTTCCCTCCCAGGTTGCCAAGTTCATTGGCTCTCCGCCAGGTTACGTCGGCCATGAGGAAGGCGGCCAGCTCACCAAGAAGCTGAAGCAGTGCCCAAATGCCGTGGTGCTCTTTGACGAAGTGGACAAGGCCCACCCTGATGTCCTCACCATCATGCTGCAGCTGTTTGATGAAGTAAGACCGTCTTTTTAAAGAAGCCGTCCGAGGCTCCTGTGGCAACGTGATGTTCCTGTGTGATTTGGCAATATACCCTCGCTAACCAGTCAGGAAAAAGTTATTTGCTCCACACAAAAATGCAAACTTATCAAGTCGAAAGGCACGTGTTAACCCAGATAACCCCTCGGCACACTGGACCCCGTTTTGTGCAATAAATGATTGCCTGGTCCTTTGGGCTGCTACAGCAAACAGAGAAAACTGTGCACATGTACATCACCAGAAATCCAGAAATGGCACAAAAGGGGCAAAAACTGCCCTAAAAGTGTGCAAAAATGGCGCAAATACAGCATCCAGTAATCCCAGGGGCCCCTGCACCAACCTTTGAGGCCTGTGGAGAGTTGGAGTTGGAGCAAGGAGGTTTGGAGGGAGCGATGGCGGTGCTTGCAGGTTTTTCCAATGGCATTCCGAATATACGTGGTTTAAACGCACCATACCTTGGAACATAACCCCCACGTAAATGGAGATTTCTTTCATCTTAAATTCCTCCTTTTCCTCCAAGGAGGCCTACAGTTCTCTCCCCCTCTGCACTTCATCCCCACCACAAATCTGCTGAGAGGCACTGGGCTTCTTGGGCCAAGTCAGCATTTGAACTCAGGCCTCCCAGGATCTAGTCCAACGCTCTAGCCACTACACCACACTGCCTCCAACATATTTATCCATATTAACCAGTAAACAGCAGATTCCATTTTGTAGAATAGCCATGGGAAAGGATGAGAAGCTGACGAGGGGGCGCTGAGCCCTTCCTTTCTCCAGATGACCAGGGCGTTTGCTTCGTCGTTATCTGGTGTGTCACCATAGGGACTAGTAGCTTGCACTCTGCTGCTCCTTTTCCGCAGTTGAGCATCTCAGGATACTGGATTTTGCACAGAACACACCCTCCTGCGCCCATGAGCTTCGGCATCCTTGAGTCCTGAACTTACTTGCATCACTTTACTTGTTTCCCACTTGATTGGGGTGAGGGGCATTGACACATGCTCAGCTACGCCTTTGGGTCATTGGTTTGTGCGTGAGAACGTCTGACTGGCTGACCTGCAGTGGAGCGCTTGGCATTCCCCTGAGGGAGGCTGAGCGCGTGCAGATTTCACCACCCTCCTGTGTGTGTCCTCACTTCTTGGTGTGTGTGTGTGTTTGTTTTTTGTTTTTTATTAAAACTGGCTCCGTGGTTGTTGGTGGTGGTGGGCTTTTCAGGGTGGGGGGCGTCTCTCTAGGATTAATATCACTGGTATTGCATAGATCATGGTGGCAGCCACTAAATGCGAAATCAATTCCTGAACCGCCTGCCTGACAGAGCAATAACCGAAATGTTAATCCCAAGCACCCGGCACAAATTTGTGTCCTTCAGCTGGGCACGGCTGCGCCTGGCAGCGTTGGGAGGGAGGGGACAGACGACTTATGCCTCTGTTTTATTTTTCTTCTCTCCCCCTCCCTGCCGTTCCCCAAATTGGTATTTTCGAAAGGTTCTTATTTTTAGAGTTCTTGGGGGGAGACAGAGGAGGGGAGCGCTCAGAGTGGGGGCAGAGGCAATGACTCTCCTGTGCAGCAACCCCCAAGTGCCTCTTGCCCTCCCCTCCGATTAGCTGTGTATGGTATTAGGAACGGTTATGATCTCATGCCTGATGAGGGAGCAGCTAGAACAATCCCCCTGTACCAATGATATGTCTTTATAGCTCACAGCCATTCCACTGCCAGCGTATTAAACTGGCTTTCTCCAGCTCGAGTAAGCTGCCTTCCAGGGCTGGGGCGGGTGCACAGGCAGTGCCCAAATGCTTCCATTCCTCTTTCAAGCAACGTAGAACTGCAGGGTTGGAAGGGACCCTGGGGGTCCTCTAGTCCAGCCCAGCCCCCTGCAATGCAGGAATTTCAGCTAAAGCATCCATGGCAGATGGCCACCCAACCTCTGCTTTAAAAGCCTCCAACAAAGGAAGGGACGCGGGTGGCGCTGTGGGTAAAAGCCTCAGCGCCTAGGACTTGCCGATCGAAAGGTTGGCGGTTCGAATCCCCGCGGCGGGGTGCGCTCCCGTCGCTCGGTCCCAGCGCCTGCCAACCTAGCAGTTCGAAAGCACCCCCGGGTGCAAGTAGATAAATAGGGACCGCTTATTAGCGGGAAGGTAAACGGCATTCCGTGTGCTGCACTGGCTCGCCAGATGCAGCTTGTCACGCTGGCCACGTGACCCGGAAGTGTCTGCAGACAGCGCTGGCTCCCGGCCTCTAGAGTGAGATGAACGCACAACCCTAGAGTCAAGACTGGCCCGTACGGGCAGGGGTACCTTTACCTTTACCTTTTAACAAAGGAAGAGCCACAACCTTCTGAAGGAGGCTGTTCCACTTTCTCGAATGGCTCTTAGCCTCAGAAAGTTTTGCACTTTAGTCAGAATCTCCTTTCTTGCCCCTTGGATCCGTTGATTCTGGTCCTCCCTTCTGGAGCAACAGAAAACAAGCTTGCACCTTCTTCCATGCAGCCCTTCAGATATTTGAAGATGGTTCTCACATCATCTCTCAGTCTTTCTTTATGGCAGCATTCCCCAACTTGATCCTTTCCAATGTATTCGACTAGATCTCCTACAAGGGCTGCTTTCTTGGGATCATTCTGCAGCCTCCTTGCAGGGCAGAAGAGGGCCTTATGCCTGAATCAGAAACTTCCCTTTCTAACAGTAGGCTTTGCATTGATGCCTGTCCTTGTGCCTTACGGAGGAGTCTGACTCTGCTGTTCGTTGCTGTTTCTGAAGGGCCGGCTGACAGACGGGAAGGGGAAGACCATTGACTGCAAAGATGCCATCTTCATCATGACCTCCAACGTGGCCAGCGACGAGATCGCCCAGCATGCCTTGCAGCTGAGGCAGGAGACCGTGGAACTCAGCCGGAAGAGAATTGCCGAAAAACTAGGTACCCTTTCTCCCTGTGTGCATTCCTCCCCCCACCCTCTAATCTCTGGGTGTTCTCTTCCTCCTGCCAAACCCCAACCTGTGTGACATCCTTTCCGCTGTATCAGACAAAGCTCTGTCTGTTCCCTGTCTCTTTCAAGTGGCGCCAACCATATCCCCAAAGCACAACCTGAAGGCAAGAGGCTGCCCCCAGCAGCCTGCATTTAGCCACCAGCATTTAAGTTTGGGGTGTCTGCCACACCTCTTCCTAACCTCATGCCACTGTGGTGAAGCAGATTAGAATCACCCACTTTGCCACGGCGATTGGCCCCGAGATCAACCCATCTATCATGAGATCCCTCACTCCTATCAAATCCTTCACTCCGCCATGAAACTTGCCCCAGGATGCGTCCTTGGACCAGTCTTGCCTCTCAGCGTAACCTAGGCTTCCTCAACCTCGGCCTCCCAGATGTTTTTGGCCTGCAACTCCCATGATCCCTAGCTAGCAGGACCAGTGGTCAGGGATGATGGGAATTGTAACAATAAATAAATAATAAATTTTTATTTATACCCCACCATTCCTGGTTCAGAAAACTGGGCTCAGGGCGGCTAACAACAAATTTAAAACACTTAATTGGTGCTACAAAAAACAGCATAAAATATGGTATAAAACATGAATAACAATAAAATCAAAAATTGATTTGGGGGGAAATCCATCCAATAAACATTAGATGATCACCAGGGCTAGCAGGCTAAATTAGTCCTATGTGGGCCAGCGAGACCAAGGGAGAATTAGCTGTGGGATCCCAGAGCGGGTAGTCTTCATAAAAGGGGAGGGGGAGGAAAGGAAGGGGAATAAAAGATCAGGCGGAATTCAAATTAAAGGCCAAGCAGAATAGCTCTGTCATACAGGTCCTGCGGAAGGAGGTTAAATCCTGCAGGGCCCTGGTCTCATGGGACAGAGCATTCCACCAGGTCAGAGCCACCACTGAGAAGGCCCTGGTCCTGGTGGAGGATAATCTAACTTCCTTAGGGCCCGGGACCTCTAAACTATGGTTATTCATGGACCTTAAGGTCCTCTGCGGGGCAGACCAGGAGAAGCGGTCCTGTAAATACGAGGGCCCTAAGCCACAAAGGGCTTTAAAGGTTGAAGTGGCGAAGATGATGAAGTGGTGATGGGAAGAACCATGTTGCCACCTTGAGCTCCTTGGAGGTTAATTTGGGATACAAATGTCATGATAATAGTAATTTATAAATAAATATTATATACAGCACAGAACCTTTCAGGCACAACTGATGTCCAGACTTTCAGCATTAAGTCTGGTGTGTGCTCACTTAGACAGGGGGTTGGAGCTCCACCTCAAATTGCAGCACCTGCTAAAGTCCCCTTCCTACCTATCCCAGCATCAAAGGTCCAGGAACTCTGCTGTCCTTTCTTGCATTTGGACATTGATTGATTGATTGATTGATTGATTGATTGATTGATTGATTTGCCCAACCTGTCTTTCCACCCCAACTGGGAGTGCTCAAAGCAGCTTCCAATCATCACCTGCACCCAGAAAAATAAGAATTCAAGAAAATTCCGCAAAGCAAAGTTAATTTCAGGAGCAAGGAGTATCAGAAGACATCAAAGGGAGATTGAAAAATAGATAGCCAGCAGAAGGCAGCTTGTCAAAACCAAAAAGTCTTCCCCTAGCAGTGAAAGACAATAAGGGAGAAAACAAGGAGAATTGCTTACGGCAGGGAGTTCCATAGTGTCTACACTTCTCTAAGCTCCCAAGGGCGAGGCAGGCTTAGAGGGCTTCATTTGATACCCAGGCCTCAGTTTCCCCACCTCTGATATGAGGAGATGGCGTACTATAGTCCAGCAGGGTTCAAATACCCTGTGTCCACAGACCCGTTTCTGCCATGGCTTGTCTGCCGCACGACCTCCGCTCTTTGCCAAACACAAAATTGTCTGGCTAGGAGGGTGTTGGGAAGCCATATTCTGTTTACAGGGGGCTCTGGGACAAGTCTCACTGCTGCAACCTCACCTGGACTGAAATGGTGCCTTGAAACTGCTCATTTCACATGAGAAGAGCCCGCTGGATCAGGCCAATGGCCCATTTAGTCCAGCATACTGTCTCCGCAGTGGCCAACAGGGAAGCCAGCATGCAGGATTCAAGCACAAAGGCCAGCCGCCCCTCCTGTGGTTTCCAGAGACTGGCATTCAGAAGCATCGCTGCCTCCAACTGTGGATGGTGGAGCAGAGCAATTGTGGCTAGTAGCCCTCCAGAGCCCTCTCCTCCTCCTGAATTTCTCTAATCCTCTTTTAAACACATCCAAGTTGCCTCCCAGGGGATAAATTTCAATCATTTGACTATGCACTGCGTAAAGAAGGACCTTCTTTTCTCTGTCCCAAATCTTCCAGCATTGAGCTTCATCGGCTGTCCATGAGTTCTAGCGGCTAACAGATTGAGGTTGAATCCTGACAAGACAGAAATGTTGTTTTGGGGGGACAGGAGGCAGACGGGTGTGGAGGACTCCCTGGTACTGAATGGGGTAACTGTGCCCATGAAGGACCAGGTGCGCAGCCTGGGAGTCATTTTAGACCCGCAGCTGTCCATGGAGGCACAGGTCAGTTTTGTGTCCAGGGCAGCTGTTTACCAGCTCCATCTGGTATGCAGGCTTAGACCCTATCTGCCCGCAGACTGTCTTGCCAGAGTGGTGCATGCTCTGGTTATCTCCCACTTGGACTACTGCAATGCGCTCTATGCAGTGGCGTAGCGTGGGGGGTGCAGGGGGGCCGGCCGCACCGGGCGCAACATCTGGGGTTAGGGCAAATCCACGGGTTAGGGGGCGCAAATCCACGGGTTAGGGGGCGCAAATTACTTGCCTTGCCCCGGGTGCTGACAACCCACACTACGCCACTGGCTCTATGTGGGGCTACCTTTGAAGGTGACCTGGAAACTACAACTAATCCAGAATGCGGCAGCTAGACTGGTGACTGGGAGCGGCTGCCGAGACCACATAACACCAGTCTTGAAAAACCAACACTGGCTCCCAGTACATTTCCAAGCACAATTCACAGTGTTGGTACTGACCTTTAAAGCCCTAAACAGCCTCGGTCCAGTAGACCTGAAGGAGCGTCTCCACCCCCATCGTTCTGCCCGGACACTGAGGTCCAGCTTCAAGGGCCTTCTGGCGGTTCCCTCCCTGCGAGAAGTGAGGTTACAGGGAACCAGGCAGAGGGCCTTCTTGGTAGTGGCGCCCGCCCTGTGGAACGCCCTCCCACCAGATGTCAAAGAGAACAACTACCAGACTTTTAGAAGACATCTGAAGGCAGCCCTCTTTAGGGAAGCTTTTAATGTTTGGTGCATTGCTGTATTTTAATATTTTGTTGGAAGTCACCCAGAGTGGCTGGGGAAGCCCAGCCAAATAGATGGGGTATGTATGTATGTATGTATGTATGTATGTATGTATGTATAAATAAATAAATAAAATTTGTTGTTGTTGTTGTTGTTGTTGTTGTTGTTGTTGTTGTTGCATTATAAGAGAGGGAGAAAGGCTTTCCCCAATCTGCTTTCTCCATTCCGTGCATAATTTCATAAAATGCCATCATGTCGCCTCTTCCTCGCCGATTCTCTAAATGGAACAGTCCCAAGCGCTGCAACCTTCCTGCTCTTTTGTGCTTCCCAAGATCCATTCTTGGTGCCTGATTCACACACCCATCACTCATTATGGGTTTGGGAATTCTGAGAGAAATGGGAGACCAGGAATTATTCGCCCCATCTGAGCCTGCTAAGCTGATGTCTTCAGCAAAGAGATTCCGCCTTCTGTAACAAGCGTCAGCAGAAAGATCAAGGAATGGTCTTTGGAGATTTGGGCAGCTGTGCTTCAGACGATGCACCCATGTCGTAAGTGGATTAATGCCCCACTTTCTGGGGCTCAGATTCTGCAAGGAAGGTGTCCTCGTCTCCCTGCCCCTCTGAAGCCTTGGCCACTGCCTCAAGGGGAGCGGCTGGCCGAGATAGATGCGCCTTTGATTAAAGACAAATGGGAAGGGAAGGAGCACAATGGAGCCAAAGGCCGTTTCGGAGAGATGTCTCAAAGCAGGAGGCCGAGATGCAGATGTCTTGGCTGACAGGAACCAAGACAGATTCTTTTCCCCGAGTTGCGGTGAATAGAGAAGGTAGAGCAGAGGAAGATGGATGGATGGATGGAGAAGCAGAAGGGAGAGGATGAGTGATCGGAAACTGATGCTCAATCAATCGGGTTCCTCCCTCCTTGGTCAATTTCACTTTGTCCCTTTTGAGGCCAAGGGGACTAATGAAGACACGGAGGACTGGGACAAGAGAGGGAGGCCCAAGACCTTTCTCTCCCCACAACTGGAGGGAGGCACTCTGGGGCCATGGAGCAGCACAAGAGGATCAGGGCCTTTGGCTTTTCTTGCTCCCAACTATTCCTCAACCACTGGCCCAAATTAGCCCAGCCCTTGCTTCAGGAAGAAGGTGCGTTTGCCTTGCCGAAGTGTCGCCAACAAATCCATCCAGATGTTGACAGTGGCCATCCAAAGGACTCGACAGCAGGGCTGGAAGGCGATGAACCTGCACCAATGTTTGCCAACTGGGTGCCCTCCAGATGTTTTGGCCCACGACTCTCCTCAGCCCCAACCAGCATAACTGTCTCATCCTCTTATAAAGCCATCTAAGTTGGTGGCCATCCCTGCCTCCTGTGGCAGGGAGTTCCATAGTCTGAATATGCACTTTGTGAAGAAGGGCTTTCTTTTATTTGCCCTGAATTCTCCAGCATTCAGCTTTGTTGGAGGTCCCCAACTTCTAGTGTTTGTGGGAGGGAAGGTTCTTGGTTTATTTTGTTTTTATCATGTATTTTGTGTTTCTATTTTGCGTTTTTATGCTGTGAACTGCCCTGAGATTTTTGGATGAAGGGCTGTATGCAGATTTAATAGATAAATAAATAGCGTGGTGAGGGAGGGAGGAAAATTTTACATCTATGAATAACATTTTGTGCCTGGGGGTTTGCTACCCTGCCTGGTTTCTAAGGCTGGATTTTTATCCTTTTTCTGGAAGTGAGCTCTAAGGGCTCTGGCCACCTTTCCCCAACTCTCTGCCTTCCAGATGTTT